GAAAGATGTCAGATGGCTCTCAGTCTTGAGAAAACCTCTTTACCCTCACTATATTTCATGAAAAATCTCCTATGAATATTCTTTCAGATGATGCTGTGCAAGTGACAACACAGAGGGGAGATCAGTACTTACCACAGCATCACCCCAGCATTTCAGCTCTCTGCAAGGAGTGTGGCTGATAATCAACATTGATCCTGCCAGGGTAAACTTACACTGGCTGCTCTGAAAGTCATGGGCGAAAGCAAATGTAGTAGGCAGCCAAAAACCATGACAATCTAAGGGGGCAATTCTTCAAGAGCCAACCTGCTCAGTCAGCCTGAGGCAAAGGAGCTACTGCAGAGGTGCAGGGTCACAGCACAGACAGCACTGCTCAGGGTCTCCTAATGACTGGCATCTGGTCATGGGTGCAAGAAGTCATCTTTCGCTCCTCAGTGGAGAATGCACAGGACATCTCTGTGAGGAGAAAACACCTCACTTCCCTGACACTATAAGGGTTTATGGAAGTCTGGTTTGTCTACATATTTTCTGTGACAGGTAGTGACTGGTCCTTTGGTTGTGTTTGACTAGACCTCTCATAAACAGAGGAAAGAGAATTTATAGTTTTAAAACTATTGCTGCATGGCAGTGTTACCTATTTTTATAAGCACAAGTATCTGATGGCACTCTCTGAAATTCAATGCTTTCAGCAAGTTTTTGGAAAAGTGCTGTCTAAATGAACTTATAATCTAAACAGACAACACAGGGACAAGAATGGAGCCGGGAAAGGATACAGATGGAAACAGAACAGGAGTAAGCACTTGTGTTAAGTGGATTCAAAACATTTTTAGTACAAAAAAAATGTTCTCACACTGTAGGCAGGGCTCAATCCTACCCTATAGCAAAGATAAACTTTGCCAATGGCCTCAAAGGAGCAGGATCCAGTTTTGTGTACTTATCATTCTTGAACTGATCCTTACAAGTAAATCTTCAGTGAAGATGACCTTAAGTAATTTACTATTCTCAGTGCACTTAATTATCAGTAAAATACGTCTTCAGTGGCCCCTAAACACTACCTGCATGATGAAGAGGTTGCCTTCAATGGAGAGTCAAACAGAGTTTATACTGGTTGCTTTGAAGTCACTATAAAGCTGCCTGTAAGAAAGGCCTTTAGCACAGTTTTCAGTGTGACCAGAATGTATTGTTGAAAGGATGGTTAGCCAACCGATGAGTGAGAGGACATGATCTGACAGCTATGAAAAGTTTAGGCAGACATCCTCTGTGGCCTAGGTACAGAAAGCATTTTTTTTTGATGTATTGATTTTATAACAATAAGAATGGATAAATAAACCCACAGAGCCACATTTCACACCTTGCTGGCAAACTACAACAGGCCAAGTCCAGCCTATCTTAATTCAATAAAGTTCTACCAAGGATGAATCTAATTAATGACACTGACAACTGTAACTGAAAGCTACCTGCTGTGCTGCCATCCTACGATTCTACTCACTCACAATAACTGAAAGTAGCATAGTTAATTGAACAGCATGTCTACACAGAAAGTGTTAATGGAGCAGGACTCTTCTATTACCTGCAACTTACTTTTGGGGAGACTCAGAAATGAAGTAAAACCTCATAATGCAGCATTTTCCTCAAGGTGAGTATGATGCCATTCATGGCCTTTGATGGTTATTCTCAACACACAGTTCAATTTATAAGCATTAATAAGGACTGAAAATGACTTAATATGGACTTAAACACTTTAGAGGTTGAACAAACTGGCACTGAAGTGAAATAACTGGCCAAAGGATGCCTGATAATAAACATAGATTTCTCTTGTTTCCATGTCACAAGGAAGGCCCATATATAACATTAACTCATTAATCTGCTTACGGTTTTCTGAGAATCATCCTCATATGAGCATCTGGCCCGATCTGAGACAGAAGTAGCATGGTGTCCTGTAACTCCTCATCACACTCCTTTTTCTCTTCCTCAGTTGGCAAAGGGGCATCTTCACGCTCATCGTCCAAAAATCGATAAAATAAATATTTGTCTTGAAAGTAGTGTTCCTGATCCACTGAAAACAACATAACATATCAAACAACCCTAAGCTCTCCTCATTGAAGCTGACCTTGTAGAAATATGTGTAGCATTGTATATGTCACAGATATATTAGTAAAGAAGGGAAAGAAAGCTACAGAGAAACTGCAGGAGTATGAAACACCTTTATTTCTCACATGTCCAAATTATGTAGTTTGAAGGGTGCACTTTTAAATTGCTTACTACAAATACTTTCCAAAAGGCTTCTATATATGTGTGTTGTGGGTGTGTATACATACATGTGTGCGTATGTACATTTGCATGGGTTTTTTCTTATTAGATCTGGTTTTGTTCTTATTGTTTCAAACCATTTCATTGAAGCAAACAATTCACACTGGGGAAACGGTTACATCATGAATTTCTAAGAGGTGTTCTCTAGCATGAACATCTTGCCCTACATGTTTCAGAAAGAATAAAAAGGTATCAGAAGCATCCAAACTTTTTCTGATTTACCAAAAATGTACATCATCAAGATATAATCCCGGGGGAAAGTTCATTGACCTGTGTCCTAGTGGAAGAACTTAATGGAAAGACTACCAAGAGAAGACTTTTAAAGAGAGGCTATGATATGGTGAAGGACAAACCCTTGGTCTTCCAAGCAAGTCAGAGTGATGTGTCGAGTTGGATACTGTGATGCAGCTTGCAACAGCATGCCCTGGGAGTTTAAGGGAATATTTGGCAGGAATTAAAGCTAGAGCTCTTAGGTAAGGAAGCGGTGGAAACAATCTGTCTTCTCAGTGTGGAAATTTCTCCCTGGGATATGGGAAGCACAACAGAGGATAAATGGAAGTGTACTGTGATAAAGCTGTTTTTCTGAACTTAATAAGACTGTACATGCAAAGCTTCAAATATGAATATTGCTTTAGAAAGCTACCCTTTTGAGAGCTATAATATCCTGTTACCAAGTAAATCCTGCCAAATGGAAACTGAAAGTCAACGTAAAATACAGTCAGAAAACTAACATAAAATCCCAGGTCTCTGCACTGGAACATTTGAAGTGCTGAACTCAGAAACCATCCCAAAACCACTGAAAATCATCCCAAAATTATGCATCTGAGCAAACACAAATGCTCAGATTCACTTCCAAATGCTGCAAATCTTTGATGAAGATCAGTTTTGTGTATGCTAATACATCTCTTGGTTTTGGCCTGAGTGCTATCCAGCTCTTGCAATATAAGCACAAGCCAGTGTACTCCTAAGTATAATTAGAGTTATCGTTATAAATTGTTAATTTACTTTTCAATATTCTCATAAGTTAAAAAGGTGTATCGGTAGCAAGATTCATGTGATACTGTCTGTGTGTTGCACTTGCACTTACGAATGAATAGGCTGCTCTGCAGCATTTCTTTTGGGCTCATGATTCCTTTCTTTTTCATGAAAGAGATCTACAGAGGCACTGATGTTACACATCACTCATGTTTTAGTCAAGATGCTGATGTTCTTTATCTTACCATGGTTAAGAACACCTTCTTCCAGCAATACTTGCCACATGCCAACAGCCTGGGTTCGTGAATGGACACAAGGACTTTGCTGCATCATCCAATCAACTAGTTCTGTCCCGACACAGCATTGCCTGAAGGACAAATAAATAGATAGAAATGAAAGGGGAGCTAGCCAAGAGAGAGATTACACACAGTGTCTGTCAAGAACAGTGATATCTTAAACTCTGTATAACATTAGTCAAATCTCCCTATAGAAAACACAATGTCACCTTCTACGAATATATGCTTGAAATACCAGGCAAAGTGTTCAGTTTTGAGAGGATCACCTCAGCAGAACAATAAGTGTTTTGGGAAATGCAAAGTTCAGAGGATCAGAGTGAGCCTGTGCCATCTGGTACAAAACCTGAGTACCAGTGCAAGAATCTCCAACCCAGATTTCAAAGGAAATCACCTCTGTATACCATAGGATAGCAAAAACCTCACACTTTTCAGAATCTTGCATGAAAACAATCATCTAACACTGTAAAAGCTTTGCCAATGAGAACAGTATCCACAGGAAGAGCCAGTGTTATGAGGGTGTTCCTCCACTCGTAGCCAAACTCCGGCCACACTGTATTTCGGGATATTGGTCTGCAGGTCTACAGTGTTTCTGAGGCTCTCTCATCCTGGGTGCTAGTCACCCCTCAGCTCCTGACTGACCCAGAGGCAGACAACAGCAGGCCTGAAGTTCTGGAGAACACTCAAAGAGGGGTAAAAAACCAAAAAGTCACATGGTCACTAAGTAAGATTCTTTGTCATAACACTCCCTAGCTCAGCAGAACAGAAGCAAATAAGCAATGTGATCAAAAACTTATAAATCTGTAACTAATCACACGCAGAACAGAGAGGAAGCTGGCTAGTCCTTCTAGACAGGTTCTTGTGGCTCCACACTTCACACATCACTTTCAGAGACCGAGGAAATAGATAATACTGAAATTGCTGAAATTTAGCTTAAAGAATGCTCTTCCAATTAAAATCCCATTTTGATGACAAAACTTTCCCTCTCCTGGATCCAATCTAAATTTTGGCATTCCATATTTTCAAAACCTGAGGACAGAACAGTAAGAGTTTTTCCCAGTTATGTGTTAGATAAAATGGTGCAGTTGTTTGGACCAGCATTGGTCTTCATTTATCATACATGCTCTTTTGTTCTTCTAGAACAATGAGCAATGTCATATTGTAATAGAGTCTCAGATCAATTCACAAGCTCCAACTACCTTGCATCGTATTAAATACATTTTGGTCTGAAATATGGAAAATCAATGCACTTATCTCAAACGCATATCAGCAACATATTGATTTACTATTTAGAAAAAGACATACTCACAGATTTTAAACCAATTTTTATTTAAATATACTCTGAATAATGCATTAAGTATTTGATTTAAACATGAGACACTAAAACAAATTGACTTTTTCTTAAGCCAACAGTAGATAGATCCCGACTCCTTGAAGTCAGATTCCTATTCTACAAGTGCCATTGTTATCCCACTTCAGCAAGACAGTGCTGCCACCAGCAGGAAGATAAGAAAGCCTGGCAATAAGCCGAAAAAAAAATATCTAAATAGAGCAAAAAATCTACATAAGGAATATTTCTCACATTTTCAGAACTCCACACTGAGCATCACTGCTGTAGCAATCAGTACGGTAACATATTAATGAATTATCATATTATCTCTTACTAATATACGAAAAGAACTTTTTAACTTGATATTGCACAGAATATTTCAGCTAACTATGCTATTAACTTTGGAAGAGTTTTTGTATGTGAATGCTCTGTTCACAATCATGGACTCAATTTCCAGTCAAATTACTTCAGAAAAGGTTTACCAGGCCCATTAAAGACTGCATAACATCCAGACTCAAATAGCATCACAGAATAATTTCCGACCTTTTGAGACCTGCAAGCATGGTAAGGCATTAATCACAAATCAGAGGATGGCAGGCATAAAAAATTCAGAGACTTCTATACAATCAGCTCACACACCTGTAAGTCTTCAGATGGTATTTACGATCTCTTATCATGTGAGGGGCTCGGGACAGAATTGTATTCCGCAAAATCTTTCCAGCTCTGAGGATCTTTTCTGAAGGAACCTTGGTGATCATGGAGGAAAAAAAGGGACCAAGACACACAGATTTTAAACTTTCCACAATCTCTGTACTGCCTTCTGCAAAACAAAATACAAGTTCTCTTCTCCCTAAATTAAAAGTCCTTGCACAGATGCTTACTTTTGCAGAGTAATGTAGTATATATTTGGGATTTTAAGTCTCACATACTTATCACATCTAACAGAAAGCATCGCTTCAGCTGATATGCATCACACTGTTGGAAATAGGAGTTATTTGTCTAGCGTCCTGGCTCTACAGCACACCTATGTCCTATTACCTGTGTAATGGTTTTAGTAGGACGATGTGGGATGTGAGGTTCAATAAGAGGTGTCTGAAAAATAAAATGAAATTAAATACATTTTTAAAGGTTAGGCAGTAAAATAAAAGCTAAAATAAAAAACTGAACAAAGAAGCTGTAAAAACAAAGAATGATGTGTAAGTCCAAGCTCTGCCCAGGAGACCCAAGTAGAAAAAGCTCTCTGAAGACATCCTGAAAACAAACTTGGCTCTTAATGCTCAGCAAATTAGAACAGTGACGTGACAGGTGAAGATGAATAACAAATGCATGGTAAACTTTCTAAAGTACTACTGAAGTGTGCAATAGCCAGACATCACACCAGATCTGAGGCTACGCAGGTGTAGCTAGCTCTTCTGCTTGCTGCTCTCGACCCACAGTGGGCACAACAGCATTCCTCCGCATGCGGCTGCCTCCACCCTTCAGTCTCCCACCATGGAAACTCTTTCCTGCTTCAGCATCTTTTTCTATTCAGCTTTCTCCCTTACAGCATAGCACAAGAAACAGGAATGAAGAAAAAGCTCTGCTCCCACTATCAGTCTTTTCTAAACTATCATCAGACCTAGCTGGCAACCCTTTTATAGCCGCTCTCTGAAATGCAAGAGCATGCAGGCTACTTGCAGAGACCTGGGTAAGGACTTTCACAAAGGGGCTGGTGAAGGAAAAAGAAAAGAGTAAAGCAGGTGACTTGGTTCTGCAAAGGGAAGAGCGAAAGGGAAGACTATCAGGGCTCTGCAAGAGAGAAGCAGAGAAGGAGAAGAAATGGGAAAACAGGCATGTAACGAATAGGTGAAAGGAGAGGAGAGACAGAAAACACATGGCACAACACAGAGGAAAAAGGAAAGCAGAGTGTTAAAGGACAGTAGAAATGGAGACAAAGAAGAACAAAACTGAGCTTCAGCAGCCACCTCAGAATGATGGGAAGATGTTTTGCTTTGTTGGGACTGGTAGTTAACAGCACGGATCAAATTTACTTCTCGCGTGAAATGTCAGGAGATACGACACGAGGGCTGAATTTGGCTGGCGTTCTGGGCTTGCCAACAGGGCAGATGATACTCAACACAGAGGTCTCCCACAAGGGCAAGACCCTGCATTCGGCCCATGGCAGCCACGGCTCCCTTACACTTGTAGAGCAAAGGCAGGACAGCCAGGTCGGAAGTATGGTGAAACACACGCCGCGTACTGCTGGGTTGCCGGGTATCGGTTTTCTTAAGCTGGGCATCTGTTTGTTAGCTCTCACAGGATTTTAATGATGTGACAAAGTCCTTGTAGTAATCAAATAGTGCTAGGAGCTACGAATGTACCAGGAGACTATAGGTCAGCCAGGAAGAGGAAAATGACGGAAGCGCATGACAGAAATCAATAAAGATAAGATAACCTTAATGGAGAGGCCTGTAAATGGAAAATAATGCAAAGGTTTTTCATTTCTACTCATACATTACAAGTAGTCTCTGAAAAGGCAAATCAATACAATTAAATTGGGATTCCTGATTTTTCTCATTAATAAGTCAACAATTTTCAAAGACTCATTTAAGTTATAAACATTTCTGTCCCACCAGAAGGGCGGTAGGACATCCCTCAATATTTCTTGGTTTCTGGAACTGTGTGGAGCGTACTTTAGACAGTCTACATTTGCAGATAAAGCATGCTAAGAATAGCAAGAATCTTTTGAAAGATGCCTTTAATGCAAACAAAACTTGAATAACAGTTTCAAATAGGTATATAAATAAACAATGACGTTAGAGATAATGCTCTGAGTATTAATCATTTTTGCTTCCATTTTCTTTTAAAAGGATTTCAAGTACTTATCAATTTCAATGAGGCTGAAGGTAAATATATACTTAAATCATTGGCTAAATTGGCATTGAAGTCATTATGAAAAGTATTTTTAAATTCTACATTCTTAAAAGGTTTTTTTTTAAAATCAATAAAGCACAATATACTCAATCTAGCTCCCAGGTTTTAATTCTAGTTAGGAATGTAGTTCAAAGGAAAGACAAAATGTGTAAGACAAAAATTATAAGAGACTTTTATAGCAATAGACTAGTGAAAATGAATGCACATTCTCGTTCTTCAGAGTTTCCATTAAGCTCCAACAAAAATGCATAAAACTAGTAAATGAAAAAATGGAATATAGATGGAGATTTGTCAATAAATCTTCCATCCTAATCAAAACAAAATAAAAGATGGCATTTAGAAGAAATCTGATTCAACTCAAAAGTACAGAAAAAAACCAAGGTGAAAGCTAAGGCACAGCACACATACAATATCTACTAGCATAGAGCTAGAAGGTGTAGTAAAGATTCAACTTAGCTAAAGAAAGCGCTCTTCACTGAAATATAAGAAAGAAATCCACAGAAAGGAGAAAGTAGAGTGTGTAAAAAAGACAAGTATAAAATTTCAGCCTGAAAAAACAAAAGAATGGATGAGAAAATACTATGTAAATTAGCTATTTTCAGATTGGCTGTGTTTGTAGAATTTCATGCAGGAAACTCGAAGAGCTTGAAGAAACTTAAAGAGGGCTGCAGCCATCTCAGAACCATCAGCAGCCACCCCTGGCAACTCTTGGGGACTAAGGAAGGCAGCAGAAGACAGAAATATGGGAAAAGGAAGAGCTGAAAAATTATAGACATGTCAGCTTAACTTGTCTTTCTAGAAAAAGTCCATTTGTGAGCACCTAGAAAGGAACAGGGAGATGAGTCACATGTGATGTATATTAATCAAGAACAAATCATGCCACACTGATCTAATTTCTTTTCATGACTGGGTAGCAACACTGATAGATTAGGGAAGAAACAGCTGATTTTCAATCCTTTCCTTTAGTAAGACTTTGGCAGTCATAAGTAAGACTTTGGTCTATTAAGATATTCTCTTCTGCAAAGGGCAGATTAAATTGTTGCAAAATAGGTGCAAAGCTGGTTGGAAAAGCGTATTTTGAAAGCAATTACCAGTGAAGCAAAGTCAAACTGGCAGTCATACCAGAAGTCTGTTCTGAGCAGCGTTCTCAAGAATATATCATACCTGATAATATTAAATCTTAACATGGGATGAAGTAGAATGTACACCGCTTGATTCTGCAGGAGACTTCAGGATGGGAGGGACTGCACATATGTTGGAGAATAAGTTTACAATCTGATACAGTTTTGACATTGGTCTGAAAAAAATATGATGCTGTTATGCAACACAGATAGTGCTGACCACTTTTCTGAAGCAGGAGGAATCAGCTACATAGAGACAGGGTAGGGAACAAGTGTCTTAGCACAGTTCCACAGAAAAAGAAATGAGGTTTATAATAGGTAGTAAACAGAACTAAGTAAGCAATGCCATACTTGTGTGAAAGCAACAAATACTACACTGGGACGTAGTAAGACATTAGACACATAATGCAGTTCTGCTTTAGTCAGCCTAGATAAGACCTAAGCTGAACCACTTGTGTCTCATTTGCCTACTTTACTTCAAAAGCATCTAAACCACTTAGAATTTAGAAGAGAGCAACAAGAATAATCAGAAATCACAACATAAATAATAAAAGTTGTTCAGCTAAGGAAAAGGCAAGTCTTAGCAGAAGTGTGATAAAAAACTCTTCAGATTTAGAAGGCCTTTGACAAGAAGAAAGAAGCGACCTAGTCCATCATGCAGAGACCAGGAAATAAAGAGTTTAACTTGCGGTAAGAAAGATTCCAGATAGGCATCGGTGAAGCATTTTCAACAGCGTGGACAGCGAATACTGGCACAGATTGCCAGGGAGGTGTGGTGTCTCCATCTTCGGAGGCTTGGGAAGATACGTAAGGGATTCTGTCAGGAGCGACACAGCTAGAGTGAATTGTGCATGTGGCTCAGGGATGGACTGGATGCTTTCCTGAAGTACCTTTTAGCCTCACTATGTGGCACTGTGAAATTTTCGAGGACACCTTTACATGTCTAAAATTGGTTCAAGAAAAAGGTAGTGCTTAAAGAGATCATCAGTAATAAAAGCTCAAGAAAGCAAGGCAGTCACTCCTACTGAGGAACAACGTCATTGCCATCAAAAAGACATGCCCAGCAAAGAGTCCCCTCAAAGTTACAGCCTTCTAAAGCTGGCAGTGAACTCTGGATGCACTAGTGATGAGCTGAAATGCAACAAATGGAACCACAGGGCTTGGACTGAATTTGCTATAGAAAGGCAAGTCATGCTTCGAGAGCAGAGAAACGTAACGTCAATTAGTTAGCAGGAGATACAGTGTTCCAGCAACAACTTCCCGTCAGAAAAAAATGGATTCTGTAAGGGATCGTATCTTAGGATAATAGTTACAATTTGGCTGAAGTCCAAGAAATGTTTTGTAAGCCTTTACAATCTTGGATCTCCCATTAAGGGATGCTTAGAAAGCACTCAAAGAAGTAGCTCTCCCTATAAAACAGCGGAGAGTGAGCCAAGTGTTTAATTACCTTCTTAACACATTCCGGTATCTTTGAAGAATTAATGTGACTCAAGTACATACATGTTGCATGGAGTTGTATGACTGCAGCTACTTGATGATCAAATTTTTCAGGACCTCTGAATAAGGGAAAAGTTATCATGTGAAGAGCTCAAATATGCAAGCCAATTAGAATAGTTTACTAATTATTACCAATCTCCTGGCCACAGTAGTGCCAAGTATACCTGCTCTTAGCTTTTCTTCAGCGTGAGATAAAGCAACACAGCAGTACCATCTTGAGCTTTAGCTACTTCATGCCCTTTTCCAACTAGTGCACACACCGAGAGTTTACTGTGATCTGCTGGTCCCCCCTGTAGGGGAGAAGGTGCATATGGGTCTGGAGTCTAAAGAAGGGAAAGCTGCAGGTGTTGGCAGGGGGAAGCAGAAAATGATCATGAGAAGCTGTGATAAAATGGCTTTCAGGTTAACATTGACAAACTCCATATCTGTACATTTATGGAGTCACATTTGGGCCATTCAAACAAACCCTTCATGAAGCCAATCATGAAACTCCCTACTTAAATTGGGGCAGAGCAGGCAAAGTAACAAATTTAGCCTCCATTCCTTTGAAGATTCAAATAT